TGTCGAGACCCATTGCTCAGCACCGCCAACTTGTTCCCACCCAGCCACACAAACAGTACCCGTGCTGCTCTGTTTTGTCCCCACATGACAGCTCTGTGGTGAAACTGGAACCACTGTATTCTCCTGTGAGCCCTTCAGCTCGACGATAGGCGAACCATAATGTTGAGTCATCAATGCCCGGAGCGCCCTTTACTTAAAGTCTAACCGCCAGAAGCAACTTTTAGAGGAAACCGTTTCTTCAGTCAGAATAACAGAATGGGTTATTCAAAGTTTTTTTCTTTAAATTAAGACAAACTATGTGGAATCGGTAACAGTATGAAGCTCTCTGAACCATCAAGGATATTTAAGTTGGAGTCTACCGCTTTCCTGACTCACTCTTGAACTCCCAGCATGCAAAGCAAAGTTAGTGTTGGCCTCTCGAAATGGTGAGTGGTTTTTCTTGATCCTCCTGCTTCGCTTTAGTGATTGATTATTTTGTTTGCGCCCATGACAAATCTATTGCTTTTGGCTCAATGAAGCCTAACCACAATCATGTGGAATTTGTTTTTTGCAAAAGGGTTTTACTGTCCTTTTGTTGGGTTTAACCAAACGTGCTTTTGCTTTACCACAACATGACCTTAAAACAGATTTATAAAACAGTGAGTTAAAAAAGGGAAAGTAATATGTTTTTGACATTGTTGGTAAGACAGAGAAAAACATTTTTGTGTCACATTATATTAATGCTACCACCAAGAGTATCACATACTATATTTTTGCGTATATAATGTGAAAAATTTAGCCCCTAAAATCATCCATAAAGTTGTGGGGTTACATTATACACAAGAGTAAATTCTGACGGATACTTTTGTTGATGTACCTCTTTAAATTTCAATTAAACTGAAATGTGTTGTGGGATATAAATCATTATAATTTATCCCTCTCCCACTGTGGAATATCTTGCTCACAGCTAAGGACATAAGCAACATTGGTTTTTTTTCACTTGATGTGTCAGATGTTTGAAGAGAACACCATGCAGAAGAACACAAACATTTACAGATGCCTTGTGAAAGCTGGTATCACCAGAATAATCTGTTTCCCCCACCAGAGGGTACAAAGGCTGAAAAATCCTGAAGTCTGTGTGAAATTAGGGATAGCATTATACTATATTTTTATGCTTTTTGAAGGAGACAAATAATGCAAAATCCACTTGTTTAGCCCTAAAATACATTTTTTTTTTGTGTACTTGGAGTCTCTAAGAGTGTAGAAAGGTTGAGTTGTGTCTCTCCCTATGCTACATACATTCTGTTTGGGTCAAATCTTCCAGCCCACTCATTTTTCTGCAATATTTATTACATATTTTGAACAATATCATCACAAGATTTGCTGCAGAACTGCAAAAGTAGAACTTGCGGCAAAACAATTTTGCAAATCCGTGACTGTTGTCACTCCTCAGACTCTGGCTCCAAAATGTTAGGCTGGATGGACAAGCCTTGCTCTGTTAATATTTTTTAATCAATCTGTTAAAAAAAACAAATAAAAGTTTTACGTCACTAATTGTATTTCTGCTTTCAAACTATCTCATATGCACCTCAGAACAATAATGAGGAAATTGGACCAAATCATTGCAGTTCCACTTCACATAGATCACAACTGACTTTGTGTGAAAAAGATTGATTTAAAGCTAAATACTGTATGACCCATTCAATCTAAAAAAAAATGGGGGCTCACATTCTACTTGGGATCATATTATTTATGCTTAAATACAGTAGGTGCTCCAGGTCCAGGCCACTCTGTTGAGGAGACAAACTGTACCTCAATGTATTAGTTTTTTTTAAATCACTTCAGTAGAAAAACGAACTTAATATTAGTTTCTTAATTTCTTCATCATCAGTGATTTTTTTTCAATGTATTAGTTTAAACGACTGAACATCGTACGACTTTTATTAACATGTAAAGAGCAGAAACTGTTTCAGCCATGCAGAGGCTTTGTTTTGTTCATGCTCCAAACTCTTCTTCATATCTGTCATGTCTGTTTCACACTACATTCATGTTCTGGCTGTTTTTTTTTCTTTTATGTCACAGCTAGGTCAACATTCACTGTAAACGGGGTGTTAGAACAATATGTTTTGTCATTTTACCACAGTTTTATTTTCATACAGCTGTTTTTAGAAATCTATTTTGATGTGAAATTGCCACTACGTTTCCAAGTGGCAAAAACGAATGAATCTGCACACATAGTATGATACTTTTTTAGTTGAGTTTAGGTGTCAAAAAATAGCAAACAGCTGAAAAATAAATTTAGCCACAAAAAGATTGTATCAAACTTGATTACTGTCACTGGAAATGTAAAAGAAGCTGACAGTGCCATGTTTATCTAATTCCACAAATGTTAAAAAAGTTTGTAAGGTTTTTTTCTTCAAAGTTTTTTTTCTTATTTTTAGCAAAAACACAAACAAAAAACAAACTAACAAAAAAACACACACCTGAAAACCCTCCCATCCCTCCCTACCTATACCGGATCTGCTAACAAAACATAAATATAAATACATCTTGTATTCATGTATCTGTAAATACAAAACACAGGTTTGTGTACATAGAACCATTATTTGACCATTAGACAAAGTTATCTGCTGAAGTTTTCTCTATGTAAGATAAAAATGGCTGCCAGATGTCAAAGAATTTGTTTACAGATTCCCTAACAGTATATCTAATCTTCTCTAAATGAATGTAAGACATAAGTTTGTAAGGTTTTTAAATAACACAAATATAGGACTCCTTTAGAACAGTTCGCTTAAACAAAAACACATAAAACAAATCACAACATTACTGTAAAGTGGTTGAGCCAATAAAACAAACTACAAACTCCTGAGACAAATCTAAACACATTTTGACATTAAGGACTATTTTCATGTGGCAATAAAAAAATCTGAAACATTTCTGAAAAGCTGTGACAGTATCATGCACACAACATTTAAATCTCCCCCTTAACAAACATTCAAGAAGAAAAAGAAAAAAAGAAAACAATTCCTGCTATAAATCTCCCTGCACACCCTGGTGATTTGTCCAACACAAGTCGTTGAGTGGCTGTTATTTTACCCGACTTGTGACGCGGAGCTCAAACAGAGCGGTTCTTTGTTTAACTCACAACGCAGATGTTCACCTCAGCAACCTAAAGGGGAAACCCACCGTGTCCGTTCAGGTTTCAACCCAGACATGAAAACAAACGTCCATGACCATAAAAAAAAAAGAAACAAAATCATCTTAGCTCACCATACGCTCAAGAAACGTTACCTGTGATGCTTCTGCTCCAAGGACACGAGGTCTTGCTTTTAGAATGAACAAAACATGAAAATTAAATTTAACACTAACACTTTATTTGAACAATAAACAGCACCAAAACATAGTGTGTGGCCAGGGATCGCGAATGAAAGCGATCCCTCTCAGAGTAATGGTCCTCAACACAGCACTTAGCGACGCACTCAAAGCGCTCACGACCAAATTTCTTGCTTGAACAACTCATCTTCATTAATAGAGTAATCCACAGAAGAGCCCTATAATGAGCCGGGGAGACATGTAATGGAATCTGCTGCAACTGTGACTTGATGGCTTTGACCCTTTCATCAGTTATAGGGTTGATATAAATCATCTACACTTTTATTGGAGCTGGACAATCAAGATGTTTAACTGTTTCAGCACTTGTTCTATTGCATTTTAATTTATTAACACTTTTCCAAATGTAATAGATTTTTTTCCCCCTGTCTAACAGACCCAAGTTTACTAGTCTTTCAGGGTGCTGGCACAGCGCTGGTATAATTTTTGAATCATTGTGATGCTTTCTCTGAAAATGGCCCTGAAGGAGCCATGCCAAGACTGCAGTTACCCCCTCCCCCTTTCCTCCCCCTTTCCTCCTCTGTTTTTGCATCTTTGTGCGTAGATTGTGAGCCTGCCCCACTGCCCGTTCTTCCTCTGGGGACTGCGTCAACCAGAGCTTTAAAAGAAAAAAGAAAAAAATAACTATTTTGTTATATAAACATCACTAAATTCCTAAGTTTCCTTATTGCTGATGATTAATTCAAGGAGTTTCAGCACAACCAAAGCAAATCATTTTACTGTCATGTTCTGTCAGTGTCCCAACTCTTCAAAACTGATCCGTTATGTTGCCGTTTCTGCTTGAACTGAGGCGTTTGAAAGAGCTGCAAACGTGGAAGTGAGTTAGTGCCACGCTGCGTGCCTCACGCGTTCCTTTTGTCTCACTGCGTCATCGTTAGTTTCCTCGTCTGCATCTGAAGCGACACTGAAATACGCTTTCAAGGCTCAATCATATGAGCTGAAACGTGTTTAGTAAAACACAAAAGGCTGAGTGATTGTGCATGTGCAACAAAGATTTCGCTTCATAACTACCTGCGCCCAGCAGCAAACATCAAATTTGTAACCACACCACAGAAGGATATCATTACCTAAAAGGATTAGTGCATAGTTTTGGGGTGGGGGGGAGGCATCTGTACCCTCTGCCCCGTTAGAAGAATGGACTAATCTAAATGGGATACATCAATAAAACAGCAGAAAAAAGTTGCGGGCACTTAAAAGCGTCAGCCTCTTTGCTCAGGCTCAAAAATGGGAAAACGAGTCACTGGCTGGCAGCCAGCCAATAAATTAGAAGATAAGAAATATTATTCTACTGGCACACCAGTGGCTTGCAGCTATTTAAAACAGGGTGGTTTATTGATAATTGAATTACTTGGACGGGAAAAAATAGACAAGACAAGAATAGAATGCTTTGAGGCGGATCAATAAGGAGACATTGGATTACACTGCAGTGGCATGAGGAAGCAGCCTGTGTATATACTGTACACGTGTGACACTGATGCATTTGATAGATGATGCAGTGCACTGATGCTAACACGTTTACAGAAGTTATAACTTCTACAGTTTAATTTGGAAATAAAACGTATCACAAGAGGATGACATCACATTGTCGTCACGCAGTGTTGGTGATGCTGTCCCATGTGTTTGCATTTCAGATACTGAGCTGAAGTAAGATGGCCTCGGAAAGAACGCCAACGCCGCCGAGCAGCTCCCGACAGAGCAGCTCGCTGTCGTCATCGCCGATGAGGCAAGTTGCAGCAACATTTCATAACTATGGTTTTGTAGTTCCTGTTTGTCACTGTTGCATTACGCAGTGGGGGCTGTCAGAAACCCTCCTTCCACGGGTGGTGATCAGACATATTTTGCTAAAAGCGCCAAAACGCATCCTGATCAGCAACAAAAAATGTATATCTGGTGCTGTTTTATCACACTCACTGACAAAATATGCTAAGCACAGCGATACAGTGATGGAATTAAATGAAACGGCACACATTAAAAGGTTGTGACAGTAATGTTAGGTTATAATATTGCACCTTCTTAAATAAAATGCCTAAATCTTTTTTTTCCCCAAATTTTTTCAGGATATGGTGCACTGTTGGTTAAGTTCTTTGTGTTTCCTGAAAAACTTGAAAAAGTGACTTTGGCATTTCATATAGTGTTGATAACAGAACAAATGCATTTAGTTGGCGGTAGAGTTTTACTTCTGGTTCCATGTCAGAAATGTGTGGCAACCCTGCGTGTGAGTAAAATCCATACAGCTGTACCTTCTCCAGCAGAAAGTCTGATGAACCACATGGTCCAGCAGATTGGGACTGGGCCAGAGCTGATGTCCCTCTACTGTATCGACTTAAGGTGTCAAAGTTTTGAATCTTGGTTTAATTCATATTTAATTAACCATATTTGGAGAAACGGGTGAAGCAGAAGATATAAAGCTTGACTAAACACAATTATAAGGCCTGGCCTGGGTTCAAACCTGAGTTCTGCATGTTTGCATTAGCCCTCATGGCTCAATCCCAGCACAATTTCAAGAACACAGAGACCTGTACAGCGCTGGCTCTAGCCATTTTGGTGCCCTAGGCGAGTTGAAGCGCAACCCCCACCCCCACCCCCTCCAACTATGTCCCACCCGCCCCAATTTGAACCCCTGATACAAGTTGGACAGTGTAAGGTACTATGATACACTTAGATTTATTTGCTTTCCCAGAAAGCAAATAAATAACAACATACATTACTTTATTACTTTATTTAACCAGGTAAACCCCATTGAGATCCAGATCTCATTTTCAAGGGGGATACAATGTCAACTTGTACGGATTGTCCGTAAGTTGTAAGGATTTTACGTCATTTTGCAGGTATACGGACATACAGGGCAATCTCACGGATTTTTTCAAAACCTCATTTTCAAATTTATCTAACATGTCAGAGCCTGCAGGATGATTTAAAAAGCAATAAATAACAAACAGTCATCTTCCAACCTGTTCTGCCGGTAGAAATAAGTTTTGAACTTTTTCGGCTCTGCTTTCATGTCCCCAGCAAGGCTGACCCCCCCAGTGCGAGTTGTATCAATTTTTTTTTTTTTTTGCAAAATTTATGGATTCTTGAGGCTTTTTAATACAGGTAAATGTCCAAAGAGGTTGGCATGTATGGGACAAAAAAATATGGGTAGAGTAGTTTATTTTCCCTGTAATAATTCATTATAGTTTTTTAAGACAAAGCTAATTGAAAGGGGCGCTGAGCAGAGTTACAGCCAGCAATTACAAATAATTACTTTTTTCTTCTGCAGTTTGGCGCCTCCTCCAGCAGATGGCGCTCTAGGCGACCGTCTAGTTCACCTATGCCACGAGCCAGCTCTGGACCTGTAGTTCTATTTGGGCTGAATGATTTGATGTCAGCTACTGTTGCTCATTTTTTTTGGTTCCATGGCCAAGAGCAGGGGGATTCTAGGGATGACGCCACAAGGGTGTCGCCCGTGGCTGAAATCTTATTGGCCTGCTGAAGTACTTCTGAAGTACTTCATTCATCTGTCCTCTGCCCAGGAGCGATGATGCTGGGTGCAGTTCCATGCCCAAACATTAGTGGTGCTACTGAGTCAAATAGAATAGCTCAGCATGAATCAAGCTTGCAGAAGTCTTCTTCTCTTCTTAAGAAGATTTGAAAAAACTCGCAGAAAAAGGATTTCAACTGACAAACAATGGCTGGATTTTCTCTTTTGTGGTTGGTCATGTGTTTGAGAGTATTTTATTTACGTACAGTAAAAATGCATGTAAAAATGGTAAGAAAAATTTACTGTGCAAGCTTGTTTTAATTACATTTTCTCCGGGTACTACAGGATGTGGCTGGTTAAATGTATACACCTTACCAAAACTGGGATTTTGTGTGCAAGAATGTTGAACAAATATTTGGGCCCTCTATAAATATTGTGGCCCCTTGCTCAGAAAAACCCTAGATCCACCACTGACTGGGGAGGGTTTGAGTACAGATTAGATTAACTTTACTGGAATCGTTTGCAATGACTGTAATGTTTTCTTGTGCGAGTTCAACTAAACAACAACTTTAGAAGACCACCAAGCAACAACAAGCTATCATTAGCTTACCATCCTCTTTACCTCTCGTCTTCAGTGTCATTCTGCTGCTTGGTCCGGTAAATTCTTCTGTATTTTTCCTTCAAGCTTGATTTAGTTCATTGTTGTGTTGCAGATAAAATGAAATAAGAGTTTTGCATTTTTAATAAGATGATCCCAGTCCACATTGAGGCCACACTCTGCTCAAAGCAAACACAACCAGGGTCTGGGTAGAATAAGGCTAGTGTGGCTTGTAATACATAAATGTCAATAGTAACTATGTTTGAGTCCTAAAAGTAATTTCCTTATAGAAAAATGTTTTAACATGTATTGTCAAAAGAATTAGAAGAAGTATCTTGTAGATAACATCATAACGCAAAAAAACCCCATTAAAATAATGACTTAATATTTTATGAGGGAAGTTGACACCTAAATGTTTTCCTGGCCACAATAAGCTTGCCAAGATGAAATAAGATGCTGTTCTTCTCCTGTCTTCATTTCACTGTGATGGCAGCTGTTGTGTGCAGTAAAGGATGCTGGAGTTATGGCAGCATTCATTGAAGTTCTATAAAACTTGTTGTAGTTGCTTAAAAGATAAATGTATCATGATAATTGATTAGGCTACTGAAATAAACACAGGTTGTATCTGACTTTTAGCTGTTAATCAGCTGGAAAACGCTGTTAAATCATCTGGTCATTTCTCAGCAGTTTAAGTAAGCTGTCCCAGCTTTGTAAATTCAGTGAAAATACATTTCCATGACGAAGCTAAAGTAGTTGCGACAGAACAGGGTCAGTGTCACATTTTTTTCCCTTAAAAATCTTCCACCTTGTTCCCAATTTGACCTGTTCCGATGGTATACCAGTGTGTCAGTTCTTCAGGCTGGTACATCAGAGGAGTTCAGCTGTGATGTGATTCATAAACAATCACACATGCACACACATCATTTATATAAGTTTTACTGCATATTGTCACTGTTCACTTACCGTACTTCTGATTAGAAATGTTGAATAAACATCTTCACTGATGACAAAAAGAATGTAAAACATAAAAAAATAATAAAAAATTGTGTAATGTCTTCTAAAAATGCCTGTGGGTCTGTATTTATAGACTTTATGGTGCATATAATCCGACGTGCAAATTTCTGCAACAGTTAAGTTAAACATCAGAGGTAGACTGAAGAATGTCAGAAACAAACTCAGAGTGTTACATCTTTGGTAAATCTGTTCTTGGCTGCACATTAGAAGCTGTTGGAAACATCTGCAAGTCAGATGTCTGCATGTGTTGCCAGCAGTTAACATCATCAGTCAGAGGCCAAATTTATCTCTGTGCTGCTTTTTCAGGAATGGCCCAAGCCTGACCTTTACCCAGAAGATCAAGACCTGACTGGTGGATTTAAAAACATCAATTTGCTGATGTATATTCAATTCAATTCAATTCAATTCAATTCAAAAATACTTTATTGATCCCAGAGGGAAATTAGGTGTTGTTGTAACTCATTTAACTAAAAACTAAAAACTTATTGTAGATGCTGATGGCTGTGGGCAGGAAAGATCTTCTGTAGCGGTCTGTGGCTCTCTGTACTCAGCTTCCTGTCCATCTCTGATACACCCAACAACTGCAGAGTCATCTGAGTATTTCTGTAGATGACAGCAGTCTGACTTGTGCTGGAAGTCTGAAGTGTACAGTGTGAACAGGAATGGTGTGTCATGGTCTGTGTTTATTTTCCTTAGTTTTCTAGTGTTTTCAGTGTTCCCCTGTGTTTCTCAGCCCAGCTGCCC